TAAAATTTCTACAGTTTTCAAATATTATATGAGACCAGGTTGACAGGCAATTTATGCCTATACAATTTAATGCAAACCTTAATTGTAAAAAAAAAAAAAAAAAAAAAAAAAAATTTAAACAAAACAACTTCAGTATTTCCATTCAATCTGATATGAAAATTGTTAAATACCTTGATGTTACATTTAATCTTAATAACAACACTTTTCAACCTTACCATAAACCCGATAGTACGTTAAATTATATCCATGCTAATTCCAACCATCCACCAAGCATTTTAAAACAATTACCAATCTCAATTGGACATAGGTTATCTTCCAATTCTTCAAGCGAAAAAATATTCCAAAAGACTGCTTTAATATATAATGACGCATTAGAAAAGTCTGGATTTCACACCATTCTCCAATATCATTCAAATCTAAATTCTTCTATTACTAATAAACGAAAAAGAAATACTATATGGTTTAACCCTCCTTACAGTAAAAATGTAATAACAAAAATTGGACATCTTTTCTTAAACTTAACTGACTTGCATTTTCCATTACATCATAAGCTCTACAAAATTTTCAACAGAAACACAATAAAAATTAGTTACAGCTCCATGCCAAATATTCGATCAATAATTAATTTACACAACCAACAAATTTTGCGGAACAAACTTACCGATAATGATAAAAACTGCAACTGCATTAATAAAACCACATGCCCGTTAAATAATCAATGTCTATCAAAAAATGTTGTATACAAAGCCATTTTAGAATCACCTAATACCAGTCTTACCGAAAAATCCTGCATCGGAATTAGTGAAAACACATTTGCAAACCATCTTAAATCATTTAATGCATATAGGAATGATACGGAACTTTCCAAGGAAATCTGGAAACTTAAACACGCGGGTAACATGTCTATAATTAAGTGGAACATAATTAAAAGATGTCAATCTTTTAACCCATCTACAAAAAAGTGTAACCTTTGCATCAATGAAAAGTATTTTATTTTGACTTTTAATAGTCGACTACTACTTAACAAAAAAAAGTGAATTGATGCCGTTGCAAAGCTAAATTTGTATTTTTTATAACGGTTTTTATATTTTATTTGAATAATATGGCTGATGATTGCCGAATGGCATGAAACTTTTACCATCATAAAATTTTTTTCATTTAAATTATTTTAATATAATTTGATCTATTTTTTTTTTAAAAAAAAAAAAAAGATATTGATCACTCTTAAACAGACAAGAGTTGTATTTCCAGCAGTATACAACATTTATCAATATATATATATATATATATATATATATATATATATATATATATATATATATATATATATATATATATATATATATATATATATATATATATATATATATATATATATATATATATATATATATATATATATATATATATATATATATATATATATATATATATATATATATATATATATATATATAGTAACAGATTACGAACCTGGGATAATTTTATCATATTTATTCATAAAAAAAAAAAGGTTTTAAACCTTGGTTTTTTGTTGTAATGTCGCAACGAACGAATTTTTTACTTCAAAACAAAAAAGAATTTTATAAAAAAAAAATCGTAGAGAAAATCATACAGAACTATAAAAAATTAAATTAAGTGACGTTTTCATAGTAATTTTCGTAAGAAGTCGTCCATAAATTACGTCACGCTATAAGGGGGGAGGGGGGTTGGTGGTTTTGTGACGACTCATTCAAAACTCACTTCTTAAGTGTTACGATTTTGTGACAAGGGAGGGGGGGGGGGAGTTCAAAAACAGTCAAAAATTGCGTGACGTAAATTATGGACGACCCCTATATTTTATTTAAAACGGCTACGACAGCGACAACCTATAAAATCATAGTTTCTACGTTCTCGTTGCTGTAGGCATTTTGATTTCGTAAAATCGGTATTATCGAAACTGTGAAGACGTCTATTGAATTAGTCAATAAAATTTTGAATGGTTTCGAAAATAATGAATATGCTTTAGCCTTGTTTATCGATTTAACCAAAGCATTCGATACAGTTGACCACGAGATCCTCCTACACAAATTAGAGATATATGGATTAGCAAACAACAATCTAAAAAGGTTCAGAAATTACTTAAATAACAGGAAACAAGGAGTGTCGTACAACTCAGCATGTACACGGTTACAAACAATTAGTTGTGGTGTACCCCAAGGCTCCATTCTTGGACCTTTACTATTTTTACTCTATGTGAACGATATTGACTTAAACTCAAACATTCTTAATTTTAATCTTTTTGCAGATGACAACAATATTTTCTACAGTTTATCACGAGCTACAAAACTTAAACGAGTGGTTCAAAGCTAATAAACTTTCCTTAAACATCCTCAAAACCATATATGTTTTATTTCACAAATCATCTAGCTCTGTTAATTTACCACTTCAGCTTCCCCAGCTTATGGTCAACAACATTAATATAGAAAGAGACCATTCGATGAAAATCCTGGGAATAATTTTTTTAAGAAAATCTTAGTTGGAAGAATCATACATCGAAAATAAAACCTCCAAGTCAATCGGTATCATGCATAAAGTAAAACACTTTCTAAATAAAACTTGCTTAAAAAATGTATATTATTCATTCATTCACAGTTATATCAACTATTGCAATATCGTTTGGGCAGTACTAAAAAAAATTTCTTCAGTACTAAAAAAAATATATGTAAAACAAAAGCAAGCGTGTCGAATTGTATGCAATGTTAACAGATATACCCATGCCAAACCATTATTTAAGGAAATTGGAGTTCTAAATATTTATGAACTGAACCTTCTCCAAAGTGTATTATTTATGTTTCAATCGCAAAACAATTTACTACCAAAATACTTTGAAAATCAATTTTCCACCATTAATCACAAATACCCAACAAACCTTTAACATTTGGAAGACTTTACTTAAAATAACTGGCTTCTCTATCTTATCTCGAGGACCGTGGCTATAAAATTCGATCCTTAAAGAAGAAATAAAAAACATGAATTCATCAAATCTCTTTAAAGCAGCTGTCAAACAGCACCTATTTAACTTAAGTGACTTCAACATACTCTCTATTTTTTAAGATTAAATTAACAATAACTAAAACGAAGTTATCTCTTTTGGATGACCGCAAACGATGATTATATCACAATACAAATAGTTTTCTTTTCTATACTCATCTATCAGATCGTTAGGTACAAGGCTTTGTTTTTTACGTACAAGGCTGAGTATTTGCTTTATTTCTACTTATGAATTTTTAATGTCACGTTAAGTTCACGTGAAACTTATTGCAAAGTCGCAAATGAAAGGGGCTTAATGATAAGACTGCAGTCTTCTACTTGCTCTTGTTATTACTTCAATTTTTATCTTATTTATGTATTAAATGTATACATGAGTTAAAGTTAATTGTATGTAAAATATATAGTGACGAAATAAATAAAAATATTAAAAAAAAAAAAAAGGAGTAAGGATTTCTTTTATCTCATCCTCTTGTTTTTTCACTAGTCCGGTGTTACTACTAGTATCCTGTGTTTTAATATGTATTTCGGCGCCACAATACTGTGTTTTACTTAGATTTTATAATTTGTGGAAATTTTGAACTATATTTTAATATCTACTTGAACTATCGATTAGTATAATAAGATATAAAATTTAGAGAAATCTTTTTTAGCAGATCATCAGTAAAACTATGGTCGCTCATTTAGAGAAAAAAAAATAACTTCTCCATTAGTAAGTCATTTGTTATGACAAAAATTGCCTCACCTAGCCTTTTTAAGATGTGGTTCATGTTGCTTGAAGTGCATTTAGCCAGGAAGTCGTGCAACCGTGGCGCAATGGTTAGAGCGTTTGCTTTATAAGCTGGAGATCCAGGTTCGTTACGAGCTCTGGACATTTTTCGAGTCACGGTAAGGAAGGAGGCGTGAACTTCCTGGCTAAATGCACTTCCGCGGTACTCTGTGACAAGACTGTTAAGTCTTCTTGGTAGTAAAATTTAAAATAAAATAAAAAGTTAACGCCTCCTTCCTTACCGTGACGCGAAAATATGTCTAGACCTCGTTTCGAACCTAGATCTCCTGCTTATAAAGCAAGCGCTATAACCACTGCGCCGCGGCCGCAAAGCAAAAAAATGTTGTTTAAGATTGACACAAAATTTTTTTTAAAATATGTTTTTTGAAACTTTACAGAAGCTTGTTTTTGGTTCAACTTCATTGATTCAATTTTATTGGCGCTCCGCATAGAATTTTTGACAGAAGTATTGCAAGAACAAAAGAATTATTACAAAAGGAGGTGAAATTAATTTTTTATAAAAACTCTGCAAAAAATTTAAATGTCTGCTAAAGATAAAAAAAAAAGATAAAAATGTCTCGTACGAAAAACTTGACATAAACGACATCTTTTTTAAAAATATTTCCTTTCAAATTCACATTGTTCTTCTTATTATTAACTCTCAGTTTATGAACTTTCATAGGTTCATCAACTTATATAATTGTTATTATTTTATCAACTTGTTATATTATTATTTATTATTATATAATTGATATATGATTAATACTCTTATAATTTTCTTATTTTACTTTATTATAGACTATTAACTCCTTACTTTTAACCTCTTTTAATTTGAGCCCCGCTGATTATATTTTATTAATTTTAAACTGATACTTGGTCTACTTAAATTACTAGTTTAAGTAGGCCATGACTGATACTACCTTTTATTAAATACTAATTTTAACAAATAAAAATATTTTTAAACTTTTTGTTTATTTTGGTCAAACATTTGGTTAGCCTGAGAGAACGCTTTTTTTTATCATTGAAAAAAAAGGTTCTCTCAGGCTAACCAAATATTTCCTATAAGAATGTATATTAATACAATAAATATATTATTCCTATAAGAAAAGCAGCTAAAAATAGAGAGCTACAACTTTTTAAATATTAAATATCATATCGGAATTTCAAATAAAAAAAAAACCAAAAACCAATAAGAGTCGTTTCAAACACCATACAACATTTATAATAGTTAATTTGTTTGATAATATTTAATAGTCAAATTATAATAGTTGATTTGTTTATGTCACATCATTAACGCATTAGAGCTTTACCCTGCAAGATTTAAAAGAACACTATCCCGCTTAAGGTTGCATGAACATCCAGTCTTTATTTCGCTTTGATATTCTTCCCATTCACCAAGTCTTTCTTTACCAACTTTATTCACGTCTCTTCGTAACCTCATAGTAGTAGTTAACTGCGTAGCAACGCCTTCTCCTCTCAAACATGTAGCATCTCCACAAACAACCTCATTTATGATTGGTGGAAATCTATATTTTTTTAATGTTTATTTAAATTAGAAGTAATTATAATAAAGAAAATTTAACGTGTTAAAGTTTTAACGTAGTAAAATACCTTGTTTGAAGTATATTTCTTTGACCACATGTCTTTGCAAGGTAAACAACATTATTTTCTGTTGGTAACTGTTTCTGTGGATCATAGCATATTGTTAATACTGTAGTACTACCGTCAGCAACAGACTGTCTACGATACCGCGGTTTGTATATATTTCCACAATGCGTTTCATTTAAAATACGATTAAGCTCGTAAGCTTTATACCATGCTTTTTCTGAAAGTTTTTTTTTGCACGAAAGTTTTGGAAGAATGTAACGAAGAAGAAGATCAGGGAGATCTTTACCTTCTGATTCGCTCAGCGCAAACAATCCAGGAAACACCTTGTTAGCATTTTCATAAATAGTTTTAATATCGAGATACTTAGAATACTGTGGGTATTTTATTTTTGTATCTTCTTTGTTTACTATATTCTTTTTGCTTCTATTGTAAAGTGTAAGAGGATGTTTATACTCACCTTCATCTACTCCTTTATACTCACCTTCATCTACTCCTTTAGCCAACGAAAAGTTTATTAAAACCAATGAAAACCAAAAGTTTATCTAAAATAAACTTGGTATTAATGTATTACAAACTCGAAAGAATTTTATTAAATGTTATAATTTTCATATCAACCATCTTCACCGTCAATTATTTGACGGTGAACATGATTGATATAAAAATTATAATATTTAATATTATAATATTTAAATATCAGGATTATCAATTTATTATATTCATATTATAAAACATGATCATTTCTAAATTAAAACAATGTACTAACCATTTTTGTTTAAACTTATGGAAAAAACTTTTTATCAAAAATGAAAAAGAAAAAATATATACGCATATAAGTATATATTACAAAGCCTTTAACAAGCGAAAAGAGCAAGTGATATTTAAAATACAAAAAATAATTTGGATACTATTAAAACATATTGTTAAAGCCATTATGCTAGATAATTATTTCCTCAGTAATTACGCTACGTGGATTAACTAATTTATGTGCGGAAGCTTCAACTACTGTAAAAGCCCCCGCACATAATTAATTTTAAAGAAGTTGTGACTAACAACTAAAATATAAAATAAAAAATCTTATATGGATAGCTCAATTGGTTAGAACGTAAATAAAAATGTTCCGGTCTCATTAAGTTATGCAATACTAGTTAGAATCTGGTCCCGTTAGTTTTTTTGTTTTATTTATTGCTTTTATTTTTCTGTACGGAAAATAAAATTGGTCAATATTGAAGGCTATTTTGAATAATCTGGCAAGACTTTAGCGAGGCGGATTCAGGAATTTAAAGTATTTTAGTTAAATAACTTCCTTTTTGTCCCAAATTCCGCTAATTCCTTGAGAATATTAATTCTATTAACCAAGAACCAAAAGTTCTGAGATTCGACGCCGGCTCTAGCCCAAAAAGCGACATTGGTAAGAAAGGAGACGTGAACTTCCTAGATCACTCTTCCGCGGTGATCCGTGATAAGACCGTAAGGATTTCTGTGGGTTTTTTTTTTTGTGCTTAATCCTAATAACCACAGAAAAAATAAATAAATAAATAACTTAAAACGCGTAGGACAACGATGACTTAAAAAATCATAACTTTTACGTTCATGTTGCATTTGGCGTTTTGATTTCGTAAAGGCGGTATTGTTAATGTTTTATTAAACTACGTCTGTATTGACGTAAAATATAAAACTTTAAAGTATGTATCTGAAGAAATTTCAAGTAATCTTTTTACCAGAGCCTAGTATAAGTATAAATAAAATAGCAAAAATGTAGTAAACATAAATAGAAGTGCAATACCACAAATTACGAAAAACGTTTAAGTTACGAAAAACGTTTATTGGCTGTAAGAATCAGACAGTTGCAAATAATGAGTGCTGTCGATTTAGTTCTTTTTCACTTTTTTACATTTTTTTTGTATAAAAGTTGCAACGACAAATCTAAAATATTTTGGACTATATGTTTTTTGTTCTGGCATGGCGGTACTTTGAAAATTGAACGAGTCTTAGGGTGGAATACAAGAAGCAAACTTGAGTCAAGTACGACTTGAACTTTACTTTGTAACCAATAGCGGCAGAGTATTTTTTGAAGGGAAAACCCATACTCTGTCGCTATTGGTTGCAATGTAAAGTTCAAGTCGAGCTTGACTCATGTTCGCTTCTTGCATTCCACCCTTAGTTAATTTGCTTATTTTTAAATTATGTCATACTTTAAGAAGCTATAACTGGAATATTTTTTATTTTAATAAGTACTGTTTATTTTAATAAGTACTGCAAAGAAGCATAGAACACCAAACTAAAAGCATGAATGGTAATTGGAATGTTTCTAAAGCAACTGAGCATTGCAAAGAATGCCATGGGATATTAAACTAGCTGCACCCAAAAGCTTCATCTATAAATAACAACTATCATGAAAAGGAAAATAAGGGAATCCCAAACATCTCAGGAGGTTAAACAATCCCCTGTACTGCTTAACAGGGATAACGGGGTAAAAGTTGCTTCATATAGTTAGAAACGGGGTAAAAGTTGCTTCATATAGTTGGCTATTTAAGAAAATCATAAAAAGACAATTTTTATTTACGTCGCCTTTGTCATGGCTTCTTTATATAACTTTTATTTTTTTAGGGTTTTTAAATCAAATCAAATCAAATATATTCTGAATAAAGTTGTTACATCAAGGATATTTACAAATAGTAATTTGTACTAATATAAAGTAAACACCTGTCAAACTAAGTAAAAATAAGATGGAGATAGTAATAGTAATAGTTATAATACAAGTAGGAATAATAAAAGTAATAGTAGTGATTATAGTGATAAAAAAAATAATAGTAGCGATTATAAAAAGAATATACTATAGTAATAATAATAATAATAATAATAATAATAACAATAATAATAATAATAATAATAATAATAGTAATAATAATAATAATAATAATAATAATAATAATAATAACAATAATAATAATAATAGCAATAATAATAGCAATAATAACAACAACAATAATAACAATTACAATAATATTCATTACGATAAAAATATAGTAATAATAACAATAACAGTGATAAGAGAATACTATAGAAACATATCAGTTTATAATAATAAATTTAATAATTGATATTAAAATTAGTAATATATCACGATAGAAAAGAGAAAAAATAAAAGATGAATAGATGAATAGAAATTTAAAATTGGTATTTAGCGTTTGATGATGGTAAAAAATCTATATAAATAAGACCGAAATATCACAAAAACGAAAAAAATAATTAAATGGAAATATGTTCATAAAAGTGTAGACTGTCAGATACAAAAAAAATTTACGCGAGGCCTTAACTTTCTCTCTAGAAAAATCAATTTGAAAAATAAATAAAATATTTAAAAATTTGGCAAAGATACATATTAAGGACATTGCCATTTAAAATCTGTCTATAAAATATTTGGACCATCAAATTGCAATATCAAAATGAGAGAATTAAATGTGCTCTACGACGTAGATCTTAAAAAAAGCGTTTTATTTTGAAATTAAACCTGCAAAATGCTTATTTTGAAATGAGTACTTGCTAAACGAACATTAAAGAATTTAAATGTTTTGTTTAATTTGGTGCGAAAAAAAAAATAGTTCTTCGTTATCAATATACTTTCAGTAGAATTTTTTCCCAAAAATTTTAAAAAACATCCGGTTAACAACTCTACTTTGATTAGTTTAAAAGTAATTCGTGAGTTCAACCGCGCGTGATTACACATAAAATCAAACATTTTAAATGTTTAAAAATTCAGGTCTTCCTAAAACCGCATTTTTGTTGCCTTGTATTTCTAATATTTATGACTATAAAAACTTTATTTCTAGTATTTACGGCAATCCGAACAAGATCTAGATCTTGTGTTTTCTGATGATACTGTTTTATAAAGCAACGAAAGAAAAATCGAGTTATATAACTTGTTGCAAGAAAAAGTGAAAATATTTTAGTAAATAGTTTAAATATAACGAATTCAAAGAAAAAAAATCCGTAAAGTTGATAACTCTTAAGAATTTGTGTAAAGATGATAACTGAACAACTTAATACACTTTAAATTAGTTATCTACGTTTTTTAGTTTACAAAACCTATTGTCAATCCAGCAGTCTATAATAAAACCAACGATGAAAAACAATTTCAAACAATTTAAATGTACTTTTCCTTTTTTTTTTTTTTGGCAATATATATAATACAAATTCTTCATAACTAATTGTTAAATTTTATTCTTTGATCTTTCGAATTTAGTGATGGAACAAAATTTATCGAATTTAATTTCTTACCATTTCAAAGCAACGTCTACTTTTACACCTATTACTAATATAGATGATAAAAATCTTCATTTACCTTTACTAAGCTTTTCAACTTTGCTTTAATATAAATATATGACAAAAATCTTCATTTATCTTTAAAAAGCTTTTCAACTTTGCGTTATATACGATCACTTTACACATTTGAATAGGCTAATTTAAAAAGACTCTTTTGATTGGCAGTTATGAAATCAGAGCAACGATATTGCTCCACTCTCGACAAGAGCCCCTACAGGCTTAAAACGAACTATATGTTGCGATCCAACTTCTAAATCTAACGGATCTTCTCTACAAGCAAAAATAAAGTCAGATAATTATTAATTCAATTTTAATTATTTAAAAAAGAAATGAATACTTACTCAATGATCCATCATTTACAAGAATTTACATACATTAAAATACTTACTCTGGATCAATAAGCACTTGAGTTTGCTTCTCGTTAACTCGAATGAACATGTATTCATCAAGATTAGGACGGGGAGCTGCAAATAATAAATTTAAACAAAACAATAAACAAATAAACAATAATAATAAAATAATAAAAATAAAAAAATTAAACATTTAGTAAATTTAAAACACACTATAAAACCAATTTAGCGACATGACTTTGTTATTAAAGAAATTTTAAAAGCTTTACTTGTTTTTGTTCTTTCGATGCTTTGCATATTAACCGGCATTTGGTCTAGTGCTAATGTATTCAGGTGCTTTTGAGTAGCATCTGCAAACCTGAGATGATACTTAAAATATGCAAAAGAAATCTTATAAACTTTCTAAAAAACCTAATGAAACTTAAACTCAAAAAACAAATACACACAAACCACATACGATTTTGCGTAAGCTAATTCTTCAGGTGATAGTTTTGAAGTTTCATTTAAAGCCTCCATTTCTAATACATGAACGACATTATTTTCAATCTATTATACAAAAAAAAGTCATCATCATCAATCATCATTATCACCATGATCACCATCATGATCATGATTATCATAATTACCTTTTTCAAGCGTTCTCTCAGATAACTGGCTATAACAAATTTTACTCTTTCAAGCTAAAAACAATTAAATTCAAAAATATAATTATGTATTTACGATTGTATTTTATCAATCAATTTTATCTACTAATACTTTCTCCCTTCTGTTTTGAAGCTGCCAATATTAAATTGATTTCAAGATACAAAACAAAATCAATATAAATGTGTAATGCTTTGTATCTATTGAATTCAATTGTTTTGTTTTGTATCAATTGAATTCAATAAGGGTTTTAGAGCTATACTTGATGAAAATTTTAAAAATAATCTTTTACTTACAATAAAGTCTGTATTTTACCTAGAAAATGGCAAAAATTCTATACTTATAGCATAGTGATATCGGCGTAAGATTAGGCCAAAATAAATACCAGATATAAACACCAAAATAAATACCATAAATACCTATTTTTCTTAACATACTCATTTAAAAGTAAACTTATTAAATACATATCATTTCAAAATAAACATATTAAATTTAAAGTTTTTCATTTAAAGTTAAATTTAAAGTTAAATTATTAATATAATATATATTTAAATAATATATTTTAAACTGTGTCACAAAATAGCCTGTTTTCCTAAGAAAATTTTTTATAAAAAATTTTTTTTTTATAAAAACTGTACTCATTAAAGAAACAAAAACTTATTATCATATAATCTGTTATGGAATAGAAAAGATAATTTTTATTTTATATATGAAGACCACACGGGTAAAACCACAGATGTCAACTTTTTGAAAATTTTAAGTTTTATATATTTTTATGATATTTTAGTACTATGCTAATTAATTTAAAAATTCATAACAAAAAAAATACCGGGTAAAAAACACAATTGTCCCAGTTATTTAAAACTAAACCAATGATAATAAAAGCATAAGTCAAATGATTAACTTTTATCCTTAAGAAAAATACATCGGATGAAGTAAACAACATTACCTTAAAAAACATTAATATATATATATATATATATATATATATATATATATATATATATATATATATATATATATATATATATATATATATATATATATATATATATATATATATATATATATATATATATATAGAGTTTTTTATAATGACAAAATTTTCTCTTAAATTATTTCAACTTTTGTTTTAATTCATTAGGTGTACCATTTGTATCCCAACAAATCGACTCAATATTCTGATTCTGATACTGCTAACAATATATTGTAAAAAAAGAATGTTTTGAATGTATTGCTCCAGCTCCATCAGATAAAAGAGCTGTCTTCCAATTTATCACGCTTTTAATTGAAAAGTAATTTGTTTGGATTTCCAAAAAAATAAAATGCCTAAACATTTGAAATCAATATGTATATTATTCCAGGCAACTGCTGTTTTATTTTTTAAACACTAATATAGTTTCAACTCAAAAATTATATTTTTATTGCTATTATGAAACTCTTGAACACAGATGGTCTAATGATGTATGTTCTATGCTGCATGATTTTAAATTATCAATTATCTCAAATGTAAAGGATATCAAATTGATTTGGAATTTATGTGTTAGGCAAAATAAAAAATTAAAAGTTTTAGATTTACTTTATTATCTAGAAGTTCACTTCCTTCATCTTGCTTTCCTGATTCATATAATTTGCAATCCTTTAAGTTGTCTGTCAATTGTTATCTTGCTCTAAAATCTTCATCTTTTCTCTTCCAGTAACTTTCAACTCTAATTAGTGGTTGCTTGCAGCCTTGTTGAAAGCGAAGATGTTTAAAAAAAAAAAAAAAAAAGGTCATAAAACTGAAAAACTTGACAGCACTACTGTTTCATTGCCAATTAGAACTTCTGTCACATTCTGTATAGGCATGAAACCTCTATAGAATTTGACAGAAATATGGCCTTTGCAAATCAAAAGTTTCTGGTATAAACACTAGATAATCTCACAAAAAACCATAACAATTCAATATTATATACAAACATGATACATATTTGAGTTTCAAAGTTAAAATTCTTGGTTGTTTGTTTATTTAAGACATGTTCACTTAGAGAAATTGAAATATTAAAGGCTAGTTATTTATTTATATGAAAAACTGGAAATATTTAATTTTATGTGTGTTACATCTCATATGTTTACATCAAAGATTGAAGTGCCTGATAAACTGAAACAAGCATATCTCTGTTGCCTCTTTTTTGTTAAAAATTGAACACTTATTGAAGCTAAAATTTTCTGAGTGGACAAAATAAGACATCATTTGGTATTTTATCTTATTTTTGAAAAATTTATTTTATTTTTCTTGGAAATTTAATTGGTTTTTGTATGGTTTATACAAACTTGATATAAAGTGATGGAGCATAGACATCATGGAATCATCTATGGTAAATAGATGAGTTTGGGGAAGAGATAAAGTTGCAATGTTATTTTGTATTAAGTTAAAAAAAAACTTTCATATAATTTTTTATTTGAACTTTTTTTTATGAAAAGAAGGGGGGGGGCAGCTTTATTATCCCATCACACATTTAGTATTTAGTATTTGTGATTGTATATTACAATGTATTGCCATCTATCTTTAAAAAAATAATAAATCTTCAGGTTACAAGCTAACGTGATTTATGAGTTGATGAATTTACAACGGAAAAATCACAGATGTCCAAAATGAGTCTTGTTTTCAAAAGAACACTGTGAATAAATAATTCTTGTATTAAGCACAAAAACTGCGTTTTTATATTGTATAAGGACTAAATTGTCAAAAAAATATACTTTTAATTAAATATATTATTAATAAACAGATATCTAATGTCACTAAACACTAAATTTCATTTTTCTCAAAATGAGAAAAATATGGCATCTGTGGTTTTGCCCATGTGGTCTACATATATATATGTATATATATATATATATATATATATATATATATATATATATATATATATATATATATATATATATATATATATATATATATATATATATATATATATATTTAAAATTTGGCAATTTTTGTTGCGCCATTTTAGGCGTAACAAAAACAAAAATCTAAGCTAATATTTATATTATTCATCATAATGCTTTATCATTATTAGCTTTTTTACAAGCATTCTTTAAATAAAAGAAGAAAAAAATCAGCCAATCAGAAATCACTACCATGACTTTAAGAAAAAAATTAAAGCGACGGTACCATTGCGCGAGCAACAGCGTAAATGAAAATATTATTAAAAAAGTTTGTCTGAAGCTGAATCTACTAACACATCTATATAGAGGTGGTAGAGATGCCATATTTTTCTCATTTTGAGAAAAATGAAATTTAGTGTTTAGTGACATTAGCTATCTGTTTATTAATAATATATTTAATTAAAATTATACTTTTTTGACAATTTAGTTCTTATACAATATAAAAACACATATTTTTTGTATAGGTTTAACAAGGTTGTTGCAAACTTCATTTGAAACTATTTATGGATCTTATTTGAACCTTGACTAATTCTTTGTCCATTATAGCCCAAATAGATATGATTGGATTTGAATGAGGCAAATTGGTCAAATTGGTCAGGGTAACAAGTTTACTTAACTTTATTTTATCCATACTTGACTGTATAAACTATTATATTACTAAAACTGTCATTCATTCTTTTCAATCAGCATTTCTATTGATGGAACCATCAGCAGTTCTCTACCATGCAATTCTCTACCATGCAGTTTTCTACCACCTCTATATACAGGGTTCGTAGCCACATATTTATAAAAATTTCCCTGACTTTTCCCTGACTTTTTTGAAAAATCAGATGAATTTCCCTGACCATTTTTAACATTTGCAATGGTTTTTATAAAATGTTAAAAATTACTACTGTAATGAAAATGCTAAAATGTACATGCTTAAAATGACAAAACTTATAAAACTTAGCTATTAGATAAGTTGGATGTTAGTATAGATTTTATTATGCATATTATTAAGGATGACTAAGAATAAACAACAGGTGAGCTTCTTAAAAAATCTAAATATTATGCACATAAAATTTGTTTCAGATGATCTTCAAGAAAATCTAAATATTATGCACATAAAATATTTTATATATAATTATTTTTCACTAACACAAAAATAAACTAAAATGTCTATGTAGATATCTTTCAACATTTTGAGCAATATTTGGTCTATAACAGAGACTACTTTGGGTTAGTTGTTTTTTATCACTATTTGTAGCTGTACCTTCGCTAATTCAATAATACCTTTAGATAAGAATAGCACAGTATAACAAAACATGCTTAGAAACATTAAAAAAAAAACTTTTAATTAATTTTAAATTGCATATATTTTTTAAGCAAAATCTTATATTGAAAATATTATTAAAGTTTTTTAATTAGCCATATTTGCATAAATGTCAACATAAATAATATTTTATATAAACAAACAAATTGTCAAAAAACAACTATTGTTAATTCAGTTTCTTTCTCTTCTCTTCTAATATCAATAATGTTTCCTGCAACTTAGCTACGTTTTTCATTTTCTCCTTGCTTTTCCTTTTTAAAGCATTCGCTTTGCTGACCAATGATAAATTGTTTTCTTTTTCTGCTTGTTCCACAGTTAAGACAAACTCTTTTTCTAGCATCAATGAAGTTTTTGTAAGGAAACCCATTTTAGATTTTAGCTCTTCAATTTCAGACAAAATAATGGCTTTCTGATCTAACATAGCATGTTTTTTATTCTTTGACTTCTCTTCCTCAAGCATGATCTGGTATTTTTGATGAGCAGATTTAAAGTCAACTTTCATTTCTGATGTAATCTAGACAGAGTCGGGATTGAGGTTGTTGGTAAGCATGAAATCACGCACAAGACGCCGTCCAACAATACCATCTGTTGATATATTATCGGTAACCACATCCTTATTGACACTAAACCCCCGTTCAACTGATGCCTGTCCATGACTCAGAGTGAAAACCAACTTAATGACAGATGACACCTCTGGATACTTTTTTATGTCAATGTTTTTGAACTAAAAATCATTAAGACGTTTATAATTTCGATCATAACTATTGATCATATTTACTACTGATTATATTTCGATTATATTTAATAATTATATTTTATATTTTCAATTATATTTAATAATTATATTTTATTATTAACTACTGATTATATTTCGAACATAAACCATTACTTTTTTAATAAAAACTTTCAAAAGTTTTCAACAAAGTTGAAAATCTTTGAAACTTTCTGTAACTTATGTAACTTAAAAAAAGAAGTTTTTCGCTTTAAAGACACAAAAATGTTTAAAGTTAAAGATGCTGTTGTTTATAGAATAAATTACAGAAATAGTTTTAAACGATTGAAATTGATCATAAAAAATTAGTCTTTTTATAATAAATAAAAAAAAGGAATTATTTTTTTTATAATAAATAAAAAAAAGAAACATACACTATTATTGTAAAAATAAAATAATAACCATAGACAATTTAAATAAAATATTTTTATTGATTAATATTTTAAAACAATTGTTAGTAATAAGAGCGTTTTGCCTATTAAAATACATTTAAAAATACTCAAGTTTTAAAAAAGTGGTCAAATTTTTAAAAATAAAATATTATATGCGTGGTAAAGGTGTGAAACACTATAGTGTATTTTTTAATTGTCAAAATAAATGGGAAGCACCAACAGAAACATAATAGCTTATTTGTAAAATGAGTAGTTTCTCAATCAGAATTCCCTGACTTTTCCCTGACTACCTAGAAAAAAAAAATTTCCCTGACTTTTCCAGGTTTTCCATGACTTTATCCAAATTTGGCTTATTTTCCAGGTTTTCCAGGTACAGTACGAACCCTGTATATAGATGTGTTAGTAGATTCAGCTTCAGCCAAACTTTTTTAATAACATTTTCATTTACACTGTTGCTCGCGCAACAGTACTGTTACTTTAATTTTTTTCTTAAAGTCACGGTAGTGATTTATGATTGGCTGATTTTTTTCTTCTTTTATTTAAAAAATGCATGCCCAAACCAAAACCCTTAATTGATGTATGTACACTCGCTTTGCCTGTCCCTAAATCAGTAGATGTATGCACACTCACTGCACCTATCCCTATATCAGTCAATGTTTGTAAATAATAAACATAAATGTAACTTTCAATATACAAACAATAATAATAACTTTCAGTAAAAAATTGTTAAAAAAGATTTAAAAACATTTTTTAGATTGTAGGACTCCATCCTGAACCGTGAGTAACAAACAAATGAGAATCCACGATGCTATACGTACATATTATAGTTGCAATTTTTTTAAAATTTGTACAAATAAAACTTTCAAAACTAACCAATCATATTTGCAGCAGTGACTTTAAATAAACTAATCAAATTTTCCTACTGTGACATTAAGAAAAAAAATTAAAGCAACAGTACCGTTGCGCTAGACACAATGTTTTATTTAAGTGTTTAATATTACTTTGATAAATCTAAATTATTATTTAACTATTAGTTAGTATTAAAACTATTAGTTTTTATTGAACTATTAGTTTTTACTTCGATAAAACTGTATAAAAAAGTACCATAAAATTTAACTTGTTATCTACATGTTAGTAGTATAAAAAAGTACCATAAAATTTAACTTGTTATCTAAATGTTAGTAGTATAAAATAGTAACAAAATTTAACTCATTATCTACATGTTAATGTTAAAGACATAATTTTCTTGCCATGCAAAAAAAAAAAAAAAAAAAAAAAAAAAAAAAAATCGCAAATTTACTTATTACTATTTACAGATTATTTTATGTAAAGTATTTTATGTAAAGTATTTTATGTAACTTATTTTATGTAAAGTATTTAGTTAATAAAAATTTAAATAAATATTTTACTGTGCCATTTATTATGAAAGCACTATATAATAAATATATTACAAAAGAAAAAAAAAATTGAAAAAAGTAATTACTTCAACTTTTTGTAAAGTGGATTCTAAACTTTTATTTTTCTGAATAAATCCACTTTCCTAGAAAATAGAAAAACATTTATAAAAGAAGATCAATAAAAAAATTAATTTATTAAAAATACTATACAAGCAAGTAATTAAACATGCTATTTAAAAACTGAATAATTGTATGGTATTATTAAGTCTATTAAACAGTATTATTTTGCACCCTTTGTCTTTATGCTTAAACAATTTTATTAATGTTAATAAATTTAGGTTTACACCATGTTGCAACACAACCAATAATATCAATTATTTCCAAGTACAAAGTAACTTCAATCGAAGTACAAAGTAACTTGCTCTTAAAAATATTCAATAAAGATTTTTTTTCTTTCTCTTTAAATTTATTCAAATATGTAAAGATTTATCTAATTCTTACCAAAGTATATATTATTTAAATTAACAATTTTTTAAAATCAATGAAAATTTGAACATTTTACTAACAACTTTATTAAATACTAAAAACCTCTATGCAAGATTTTATTTGAAATAATGAGACTCACACTAAAGATTCAAGACTTTTAAGTTTAGCTTTTTAAACCTGATTTTAAAATGATCTTGATCCATAAAAGGTTTTTTAAAGAAAACCTTTGAACTTAAAACCTGAATACTTTAAAACTTGATAACTTAATCTTGTTACTTAAAGACATAAGTTTGATAAACTAACATTTTTTTTAAATTAGCAAATAAATTTAAAACATTTATTTAAAAAAAAATATAACTTTCATTATATATATATATATATATATATATATATATATATATATATATATATATATATATATATATATATATATATTAGGGTGTCCTAAATGTGTTCTATCTAATGCAAAAACACTAGGTTTAAATTTTTTTTGAATAAAAAATATTTTAAGGAGTCCCTCAAGACCCTCGAATTTTTAATGGGTCCCTAATATTTTCGAAAAAAAGTTTTTGAAAAATATGTCAACTTGGTACTCAAATAAAGCGAAATTATATAAATATTTCAAAAATAATATTCATTTCGAAATATTTTTAACTTATTTATCAAAATTATCATAAAAAAACATTAGAAATGCATTTTTTTCATTTTTTCTTAAAAAATGCAATTTTTTATGTAATAAAACCAAAAATAACAATTTTGTTTCGAAATGAATATTATTTTTAAAATTTTTATATAATTTTGCTTCATTTGAGTACCAGGTTGACATATTTTTGAAAAACTCGAAAATATTAGGGACCCATTAAATATTCGAGGGTCTTGAGGGAACCCTTAAAATATTTTTCATTCAAAAAAAATTTAAACCTAGTGTTTTTGCATTAGATAGAACACATTTAGGGGGTGACAGCATTTTATTTTCAAAAATGTTGTTTTTTGGGACACCCTAATATATATATATATATATATATATATATATATATATATATATATATATATATATATATATATATATATATATATATAAAGTCCATAAACTTTAGTTTTAAAGAGAGTGCTAATAAACCAGACCAATAAAAGTTTAAAAACTTAAATAATTTCTTTTCTCTTAAATAATAGACTGCCTGCCCTAACCAAATCCTCAGTCGATGTAGCAGTACTCCATTGCAAGTCAGGCTATAAGATAGTTGATGTAGCAGCACCCCGTTGCAAGTCAGGTTATAAGATAGTCAATGTAATAGCACTACGTTGCAAGTCAGGCTTTCAGATAGTTGATGTAGCAACACTCTGTTGCGAGTCATATGTGTATATATATATATATATATATATATATATATATATATATATATATATATATATATATATATATATATATATATATATATATATATATATATATATATAGATATACATATACATATATATATATATATACATATATATATATATAAGGTGTAACTTAGCCTTAACAAACTTGTTTGGTTTAACACCTACAAACACTATTTTTTTGCCCTTTTTGGCTGAAAAGTTAAATACCTTATTATGTCTTTGTCAGCAAAAATATTGAGAAGCCGCCTACCTCAGATATTTTTGAAATTTTAATCAATTACCAATATTACGGAAAATCTTAAAGCTATTGTTTATCTTTTTTTGTTTGGTATTTTATATCAACTAAACTACGTGATCGCATTGACTAAAATCATTTTTTACTAATCTACTATCTTTTCTCTACTAATTTTTTTAAAAGACCACCTCTGAAATATAAGTTAAATACAAAAAATGTTTTATGAATATAATAAACTGGTACTAGAAATATATTTAATGAGGAAAATGAATTTCTTTACTTTACTGCCTGCTTTTAATTAAAAGGTAAACTAAATATGTATATTAAAATGAAAACTAAATACCTTTAATAACAAGAAATTTTATTTTATTACAACAAACTGGTACTGGAAATATAAAAATTAAAAAAACTGGAGTCACTGCTTGCTTGAATTTAAAACGTAAAAGCAAATTAACTAAATAGCAAATTAATTAAATTGAATTTAAAACGTAAAAGCAAACGTAAAAGCAAGGTCAGGTCAGGTTTTCCTGCTACTGGTAACATGTAACCCAGTACAACCTGCTCCATGTCCTGCTGCCTTGTAGGATACGCTTTTTTAGGCAAAGGCTAGGAGAAGTTAACTCCGAATTAAAACACCCCCTGCCTTGGGGCTCTTGGTTGAGTAAAGGCTAGAGATGGTGTCTCGATAAAAATACTCATCTTGGGCAGATGTTACATGCATCCAGCTGCTGTCTTGTAGAAGGCCTCCTAGGCAAAGACTTAAGGGGTAAACAGATTCTATCTGTTGACCAGCCTCGCACCCCTTCCTCATCTATTAGGCTGGCGCAGATGTATTTTTAATACATTGTTTCCAGTTTAGGATGTTGAACGCTGGATCTTCTTGACTCAATGCGTGGGTATTGCTTGTGTCTCTATTTTTATGACTGGGCAACTCATTCTATTATCTCCTAATGAGGGTACAGCTCTAAAACTCAGTTTTATGGTTCTGAGGCCGGCTGGTAGTCAGGTTTCCCGAACTCTGTGGTAGCTCTCAGAGAGGCTGATTCCATCAACAGCCGAAAAATATCAGAGTACTAACAGTGCCATGTTGCGCATGGATGGTGTCCCTGTTTGTACTTTTGGTGTGCATTGCAGAGGCCACATTTGGAGCCCTTTGCTACGGCTTAGGGTTTATTAATAGTAATGAGGCTATTGCTTAGTTGTTAAATAGTGTACTGAGTACTATCTATACTTGAGTCAAGTTCTTTATAAATTTAAAATGACTAAAGTACCTAAAACTAATAAACACAAAAAACCATCGTCATCACCAAGTTCTCTAAACCTATCATTTACTAATATTCGTGGTCTTCGAAGTAACTTTTCTTCTGTTGAGTCTTATCTCTTGCAAAGTTCACCAGACCTACTTGCTCTTTGTGAGACTAATTTGAGTTCGGCTGTCCCATCTTGTGATCTTAGTGTTGATGGTTATCTTCCTTTAATTTGTAAAGACTCCAATAATCACATGCTTGGCCTGGGCATCTACATTCGTAAGAACTCACCAATTTGTCGTGAAACTAGGTTTGAATCTCCAGACTATTCATTTATGTGCTTTCGTTTAGCACAACTTCACTCTATCGCCTTTCTCTTTGTTCTATATCGCTCTCCTTCATCCCAAGATTGCACTATTCTTGATGTTATTTCTGATCAAATTGACCAAGCCCTCTCTCTTTATCCATCGGCCAATATCGTCGTTGTTGGTGACTTTAATGCCCATCACACCGATTGGCTTGGCTCTAGTGTCAGTGACTCTGCTGGCGTTAAGGCCCTTAACTTTTGCCTTTCTCAATCTCTAACTCAAATAGTCAACTTTCCAACTCGTTTTCCAGACAACTCTAATCATTTACCTTCTCTACTCGACTTATGTCTTGTTTTGGATCCTAGTCAGTGCTCAATTTCTCCACATTCACCCTTAGGTACTTCTGATCACGGTTTGATCTCTCTAAAACTATTATCAAATTCTTCTACTTCATCAGAATCCCCCTATCATCGTACCACATACAACTACCTTAAAGCTGACTGGGACTCTTTCCGTGATTTTCTTCGTGATGGCCCTTGGGTAGAAATCTTTCGTCTTCCTGCTGACAAATGTGCTTCTTACATAACTTCGTGGATTCAGGCTGGCATGGAATCTTTTATTCCCTCTCGACGATTCCAGGTCAAGCCTCACTCTTCTCCTTGGTTTTCCTCACATTGCGCTGCAGCAATTTCTAATCGAAACCGTTACTTCCATATCTATCAGCAAAACAATTCTCCAGAAAACAGACATCTGTTCACTATCGCTAGAAACCATTGTAAAAAGGTTTTGTCTGACGCCAAAGCTCGCTATTCCCAGGTCATTAAATCTCGTATCTCATCACAAAAATTAGGCTCTCGAGACTTCTGGAGAATCTTTAACAGTATCAATAATAAGGGCAAATCTGTTATTCCTTCTCTCTTGTATGGTTCAGACTTTGTCACCTCACCTAAAGACAAAGCTGAATTGTTTGCAAAGAACTTTTCATCAATATCATCTCTTGATTCCACTAGGTGCGTTTTACCTGACATAGCCGTCAAACAGGTTGATCCCTTGCTTGACATTCGCATCACTTCAGCTTCTGTATCTAAAGTAATTTCCTGCTTAGACTCTTCAACAGCTTGTGGTCCTGACAACATTCCTGTTGTAGTCTTGCAGAGGTGTTCTCCGGAGCTTTCATCCATACTTTCTAAACTATTTAACAAGTGCTTATCAGAGTCTTGTTTTCCATCATGCTGGAAAGCAGCATCTGTTATCCCTATTTTCAAAAATTCCGGAGAGCGATCTGATTCATCTAACTACCGCCCCATTAGTCTTCTTCCTGTCATAAGCAAAGTTTTTGAATCTTTAATCAACAAACACTTAATCTCTCATCTTGAATCAAATAACTTACTTTCTGATCATCAAAATGGATTTCGGTCTTCTCGTTCTACAGCTGATGTGCTAACAGTAATAACCGATAGGTTTTACCGCGCATTAGATAGAGG